CCCCAAAACCCCAAAACCCCAAAACCCCATTAGGAAGAGTTCAGTATTTAAAGTTAAAATAATATTGTTAAGAAATTAAATATAACTTCAACAGGGTTGAGATTGGGAATAAAAATAAGTTTCAGTAAATTGCTAGTCTATATCTTTATTTCAAGCCTTGTTTTCTTATTTTCTAGTCTCTCTATCAATGACGTGTACCTCTTCATGTTCAATATCTTAGTCTGCCTTTAAATCAGCAAAATGGTGATTTACTTCTCTGTGAATACTTTCGTCAGCTCTTATACTGAGAATAACTTCTCTAAATTTAGCATGCTCACCCAAATTATAGTAGTCTTTTGCCATTTAAGAGGCTTCAAGGCTGCTCCATTCTGGTATTTTCCCTTCATCAAGCTATTTCAACATAATAGTATAGGTATGTACAGCTTCTTCTTCTAAATATCCGACAAAGCGATGGCAATATTTAGGAAATAGGAGGTAACTGATGAAGTAAAGATTGTAGAATATTCCCTAGGTGAGCATAACCATAGTCTTAAACATAAATTTTGGCTTCTTAAGTTCTAAAAAGATAAACAGATGTGTTCTTTCATTTTCTGCTTCCTCAAGTAAATTATGGATCCAGCCATTATCTGGTCTCAAAGACCTTAAGCTCCTCAAATGCCTTGTCATGCCTCCAACCATACCTGGTACTCCTGCTACTGTTTCCAAGAAGATTGCTCTAGTCATCCATTAATTAGCACTCATCTACTTTTCATTGTATCCGGTAAAAAGATCAAACGAACCTCTTGTGAATCTGACAAAACCTCTAGCAAAGTAATCTCTGAATCCTTCTGGTTTTCTATGGGTGACGGGGACAGTCTCAATATCTCTCATAGAGTATACAGGATGAACCATTCTGTAACTCTTAGGGTCCATGATCATTCTATGTTTAGGAAGCTAATCTAGCCATTTCTTTGCAGTTTGTGACATCGTCTTAGAGGTAAATTTTAATAAGATGGAATTTAATAAGTTTTATAATGAATCAATCTATTTAGCTATATTTATATCTCTAATAATAAATTTAATTTCAATCATTCAAAATTAAACTGACCTAAATTTCTATTATACAAAAACTATTGGGGTTTTGGGGTTTTGGGGTTTTGGGTTTGGGGA